TTAGTTAACTATTATTAGCTTACTATTTGCATAGCTTGCTATAATAGCAACTTATAAGCTTATATATATAAAAAAATTTATAGGCATTATATTGTTCGTAATTAACATAAATATAAAAGTAAAAAAAAACTTAAAAAAATAAAAATAAGTTTTAATTTATAGTATAAGAGCGCATATATATACTTTTCTGCCTACGCATTTAGGCTTTTCTAAAAAATTTTAAAAACTATACTTTTAACTTTTACTTTATATATAATTATATAACTTATAATAATATAATTATATAGTAAATAATAACTACTTTATATATAAAAAAGCTATATAATTTTTTTTAAAATTTTACTAAATTTTTACTTGCTGTAAAATACTTTTACTAGTTTTAATTTAACCTGCTTAGCATTGCCTAAACAACTTAGTTACTATTAAAAACTTATAGTTTTATTACTATAATTTTTAAATAATAATATATTAAGTTTTTAATAGTAATTATTAAAAAAAATTTAATAATTTATTTAGCTAACTTAGTATTGTATAAATTTTACTGCTTTAATACTATATTAAAGTATTAAGTATAGTACTTAAATTATAATTTTATACTAATTTCTCTTACTGCGTTGTATAATCTGCTTTAGCATTAACTTTACTTTTTCTTAAAGCAATACTAGAATAAGCAAAAAAAAAAGGAATTTATTGTGCTATTATATAAAAATAAAAAATAAAAATTATAAAGTAGCTTTATATAAGCTTTAAAAATAAATAATTCTTTTTATTACTTTAAAAAAAAGTAAAGTTAATGCTAAAGCAAATTATACAACGCAGTAAGAAAAATTAGTATAAAATTATAGTTTAGGTGCTATACCTAGTACTTTAATATAATATTAAAGCAGTAAAATTTATACAATACTAGGTTAGCTAAATAGATTATTAAAAAACTTTTAACAATTGCTATTAAAAACTTAATATATTATTATTTAAAAATTATAGTAATAAAATTATAAGTTCTTAATAGTAACTAAGTTGTTTGGGTAATGCCAGGCAGGTTAGATTAAAACTAGTAAGAGTATTTTGCAGCAAGCAGGAGTTTAGTAAAATCTTAAAAATAATTCTTCTTATATTTAAACTATTAAATATAATGTACTTCTATAACAAATAGTTAGTTAGGACGAGTAGTTAGTCTCTGCTAAGCCCTTACTAAAACCTACTATTGCCTACAGTATATTGCAACTATAGTATATTATACTATAGCTAATAGTATATAATATTAATTTATAATATTTTTTATATTATTTTTATATGTGCGCGTATTATGCTTTATTTTATTATAGCATCTACAGCGCTTTTAAAAAGGCTTACCTGCTTTAGCGCGCGCTTTTTTTTTTATTTTTTTTTTATTATTACGCGCCCTAAACTCTTTTAAAATTATTAATTAAAAACTATTTTTTACTATAAAAGTTTTTTCTTTTTATACTTGCTTTTTTTTATGCAATTTATATTATATAGCAGCCTTATTAGTAGCTTAAAGCTTAAAGTTTTATTTTTATATTAATACTATTAAATGCGCTATTATTTCTGCACTTTTAATAAATTTTATAAAAGTATCTACTATTAAAATAAAAAAGCTATTTAGGTGCTTCTAAATCTTCTCTTTTAAAAGCATTAATTATAACTTAAATTCTAAAATATTACTAAGTATTCTTAACTTTTAGGCACTGTCTTTAATAGTAAGTAATAGTAAAGTATATAACTAAATATTAAACTTTAATATTATAACTTTTAAGTTAAGTAGTACTAAGCTAGCACTTTAAAAACTTTTTAAAATATTACTTTTTATAATAGCAGCATTAAAAGCAGCTTTAAAGTATAGTAAAAACTTAACTTTAGTAATATAATTAATATAATTGCGCATTAAAATTTTGGCTTAGCGCCTATACGCCTTTTTTAAAAAAGCAAAATAGCTTATATTAAGTAGCTATAGCAGGTGCAACAAATGCAGAAGTATATAAAAAGTAATAATACTATTTTTTTTATAGTACTAGTAAAACTTAACTAAATTATAGCTTTTATAGCTATTTATAATTAAAAAATAATATATACTAATAGTACGCCCCTTTATATACTTATTAAAGTACTTTATTTACTTAAAGCTATGCTTATTAGTTATCTAGCTATTTATAAAAACAGCAATAGCTTAATTCTAAAGCAGGCTATTTTCTTTATACTAGGCAGAAAAGTAGTAGTACTTGCCTGCAAAAATAATAAAAAGTAAAATTACTTAACTAGCTACGCTAATATTTTAAATTATTATTATTTACTTTTAATTACTTTACTATACTATTATTGCTTATCCTTAATAATTAAAACTTATAATAATAGCTTTAGTTAATATTACACTTATTATAAAGCCTATTTTATTAAAGTTATAAATATTTTTATTTATAATACTATACTTTGCCTTTATATTCTGCACTAGCTAAAACTAGTTTTATATAGTATTAGGATCTTTGCAGAAAATTTTTTTATAATTATATTTTTAATTAAATTTTATTTTAAACTTAAGCTAGTGTTTAATAAACGCGTTAGCTTATTTTAAACTAACTAAGTTTTAATAACGCTTAATAAGCAAAAAATTAGCTATATTTTTAATTTTAGCAAGTTTAGGCGGGTATTTTCTCGCAGCAAAGTTAAGTATATAATTAATAATTTTTTTTTTTTTTATTATAGTAAGCTTTATTAAATTGGGCGTATAGTTGCGTTAAAAAGTAGTTCTAGCAAGTTATTTTTTAAGTATTAATTTAAATACATTATAATATTTTATAGCATAATAAATTAAGAAATTTGCATTTTATTTAATAGCTTAAATTACGTTCTGTATTTAATATTTTTTCTAAACTAGTAATATATTATTATATTAATTTATTGCAATATACTATAAGTAATAGTAAGTTTTAATAAAGGCTTAGCAGAGACTAACTACTCGTCCTAACTAACTACTTGTTATAGAAGTACGTTAACTAAAACTTGCATTAAACTTATTAGTAGTTATAGAAAGCAGAAAATTAATATATAGTATTATAAAATAATAATAATAAAGTTTAGAATTATAATTAGCAACTATTTTAAAAGCTTATTTTTAAAAAAAAATATAATTATAAATACTTCTGCACTTAAAGTACTTTTATAGAAACTAGCAATAGCTTAACTAGGGCGCAGGCGCTTTAAAAATCCTCTTAGTATTTATATCTAGCCTATACTTATACTTCTTGCTAATTAATCCTAGGAGCACATTTTTAACGCCTAAAATAAATATTCTAAAGTAGACCGTATAATTACTCTTATAAAGGAAAGTTCTATATTAAGCGCAGAACTTAACGCGCAGCAAAAGCAAAATAGTAAAATTATTAAGCGTATTAAGGCTTTGGAGGAGAATCTCGTTATAGGACAGAACAGAGCTATAGCTATTATAGATAAGAAAAACAAAGTTAGAGCAAGAAGCAAGCAAGTTTACAAATTAATATCTAAGGATAAGGCTTGCGAGTATAGCAAACGAGATAGCAAAAAGAAGTATATAAAGCGTAGCTAAAATAGTCTTTCTATATTAAGTTTAAATTAGCTTAGTAAAATTGTTAGTAATATAGAGATTAGCGCCGCTTTAGTTAAGCTGTAGCCGGTTTAGCTAAAACAAGAGTAAGAGAAAGTAAGAGAAAGTAAGAAAAAGAGTAAAAGAGTAAAAAGAATAAGTTATAAAGCTTAGAAAACTTTGTGCAAGTTGTAAAAGCAGTATTGCAATATAATAAATAGTACAGTACCGCAATAGTTAGTTGCAGAACTATAGAACTAAGTCTAGCCACGTAACAGTAATGTAGAAAATATGCGTTTATATAAGCATTTCTATCTGCGGCGACACGAATAGTGCATATATATAATAAAGTGCTTTAAGGTTTAGTACATACAGAGTCTTAAGTACTAGAGTTGTTATATTTTTTTTAAAAAAAAAGGAAGAAACTCTACACAGATTGTCCCTTTACTCTTAAGTGTAACACTATTAAATTCAACAGCATACGGAATTAGCTATCTAGTTGTTTTAAAATTCTAGAATGTCTATAATTAAAACCTATATCTTACCCTTAGCATTTTACTCTAAAACATCAGCTTCAACAACCTATTGTATCTTAGTTCTTATAATACTAATATTGTTGCGAATTAAAAGAATTAAGCTGCTTTATTACTATTGTAAAAAGTAAAAGCACATGTAATCTAAGTTGCTACCCTTGCAATAGTAAAAAAAAAGCTGCACCGAAAGTACTATACCGTTTGACGGCAGTTGCAGCTATAAGACAAAAAAAACTACAAGTGCATAGAAGCGAAACAGTATAATAAACAGCTAAGAACGCACTATCTAAAGAGTAGTTACTTTATAACTTGGATAAGCTAGCAGGAAGGCAAGCGCAAGCAGCAGAAATAGAGGGCTAAGCACTGTACAGCAATATTAGAAGTAGTTCGCAAGCTTTAGTTACAATACAATATAGAATAATTTTGTACAATAATACATTCGCGAGTCTCTTTAATATTTTGTATACAAAGTAAGAAGTTCAACTACTAGAACCAACTATAACAAGGTAGCTCTAATTTTGTTTCCTTCTCTAATATTTGGAGTATTATGTACGGGTTGTAGAGTCACAGCGGCATATATGCGCTCAATCCTAAAGGTACTGTCAGAAGTTACCTTTACCTTCATCGTAAGTAAGATAGAAAAAGACGTATAAAGCTCACTTCATGTCGAGTTTGATCCTTCCCAAAATAGTAATCGTTGCCACAGCACAGCTACAGTTTACCACGTCCGTGCCCACATAACGCGTCGCGCATTCAACAACTAACTTACTAGCCCACACCACACAAAATTATACAAGCATCGATCAATCATAGCATCTCCCCAAATTATTTTAGAGTTGAGAATATCTACTTCACCACACAGGAGCTCTTCTGCTCTACCGGTTCCCAACATGGTCCCAACATCCGATCGTCTTACTACCACCAATGCTGCAATCGATCTGCTCAAAAGAAAGCTCGGCAGGAATGCGCACGTTCTCGATTACATCCCTCTTAACAAAGTAGAGTTGAAGTTACACAACACCGGGTACGATGGATATGCCCGATATGGCATTCCTATCGCCACAGTCGAGGACAAAAGTGGCAAGCAATGGGCAGCCTGGGCGCTCATGTCCACGACACTCCGAAAAGATGGAAGCCAGGAACTGTGGATTTATGCCATCGAAGCAGGATCGAAGGCTGTTAAGCGATACAACTTAGCTGACGTGATCAATGAGGGCAAGCTGCGCCAGGAGTTTCAATTAGTCAAACAGAAAAAACGTGAGCTGATCGCTGTACTGAAGGTCCGTGTTGCTGACTAGAGTTTTCGTAGTTCTAGAAACTAATATAAATAGGCTTGCTTTATCCTCAAAAGCGGTCATGTCCCCAAAGACATCGCCTTTGCAAGCTCTTTTCTCAGAGATCTTCGACGCGCCTGCCGCATGTACAAGGACGACGATACGGGTGCAGACGAAGACCATATAACGAACGATCTAGATGATACAACGGAGATTTCAACTAGCTCTCCGAATCCTGAGCCCACACCCAAATCCAGCCCCGACGCTCGTCGGAGTAGTCCCCCTGAAGCGAGTTTCCCACTTTCATGGCCTATTACGGAGGTTCCTACCAGCATTACAGCTGCTGAAAATTTCAATGCACAGTTCGAATTTGAGGCGCACGCACGGGTAATCAATCCGGAGTCAGATGTTGTGGCGAGTCACGAAGCTCTGAAGAAGGCATCCACGCCAACATCGCAGAGCGGGGGCATTTTGAAGAAAGTAAGTTTCATAGCGCCACTAATAGATGCGCTAAGGAGCTAATAGTTGAACAGACTCCTTCATATAAGGAGACTTTGAAGAAAGCCTCCTTCTTCGATGTTGGCGACATTTCGCGACCTCAACCGCCGCGGCTGAAGACCGCTAGCCCTATAAGTCAAATCTCAACTGTAGTGGCCAACGAAAACGGAGGTAATCATCACACACCTTCTAGTCAGCCATATTGCATAACTACTGCCACATCTATCACACGGGCGCCAAAGAACAATCTTGATAGCTATCTCGAGCTCCACGAGAAGCAAGGCGCTCTTTCCTCCGAACTGAGGAACATTAACGGTAGCATTGAGAAACACGATGTGGAGGGAGTGGCGCAGCTCATAGCTTTAAAAGACAGGATAGACACCGAATTGCGTGATAAGCAAGACAACGATAAGGCGAATCTGCAAATCAAGCACAAGCGTCAGCGTGAAGAACTGGATGCCAAACACAAGGAGGAGATAGCTGAACAGTACAGGGAGCAGGCAATTGAGGCCGATGCAAGGAAAGAGGAGCTCATACAGTTGAAGGTCAAGCTTGCGCAACAGAAGGACGAGCTATTGAATCAGCAGAGGGCTCAACTGCAGGCTAAGAACGCCATAAGGGAGGAGGTCGATCACAAGCGTGAGTCATTCACGCGAGAAGAGCTATTAAAGATGGTGGATGGACTGACGCCTTTCGCACTCAAGAGGAAGCGGAAGAGGGGTGAAGATGGCGAGTGTGTGGATGGAGAGAAGCAATCTTAGCTTCGATGCACAAATAGCAAGGATGCGCGCTTTCATAGGTCCTTCGGCGAGGAGAAGCTTTGCTTATCAACTATAGGGCTCTATAATTGTCCTGAAGAGTAATAGGTGTCGTGTTATCTTCAGTAAATATGGCGATGAATCAGTGACCATAGTCTTGGTTAACTTTGATCAGCAACACATGTCGCCTGATTACCAAATATATCTTGTTTCAATCAGTGAAGATAGTAATTGAGCACAGTACCTGCAACACCAATTATGAACGCATCTATGCGGTTGAGCTATATGCGACACACGCGGGTGCTAGCTGAGCCACGGTTGCGCTTCGAACACGTGCTCACGTGCCAGACAATGCACTATAACTATGTCGCATGAATCCGCTGTCAAACCGATTGCATGTGCATCGGTATGGATACTCTAACATTAAACAGCGTGTCGTTAATGTGGACTTTTACTTCCGTGACACAAGGGCGCAAGATGTTGTTCGTAGGTAGGTGCACTTGCCCGTGCTCTTCCGGTCACAAATCCCCGTCACAAATCCCCACCACTGTGTAACGATCAACGGCTTCAATCCAACCTCAATGTCCACTCACCTAACAATCTCGCGCCCAATACCTCACCAATGGCAACTATATCTCAAGAAGCTCAAAGGAAAACTAAGGGCGCGTAGCCTTCTACACATCCTGGAATCATTTCCACGGTCCACGACTCTCGAGTTCTACGAAGCGGTATTGCAAGAGCGCAAAGCACACACGCTCTTTCTTGGCCGCCGTAAAAAATCCAATGGTGGGCGACTGAAAGTCTGGGCTTATATCCTGTCCAACGAGGGCGAAATCGTATTTCGCGAAGAGGAATCAACCACTACCAAGGTAGATTAGCCAATGAACTATTTCAGCCAATAAACTACCTTAACAAAAATTACCCATCTGCAAAAATAAGGCTGTAGAGCTACTAACAAAAGTTATTATTACAAAATTTTTTAAAGTATTAGTAAACAGATACTTGCAATTAATTTATACTATTTAAATTTTTATAAAAAATTAATTTAGCAGCTGCGCGTAGTAGTTTTAAGCAAAAGCAGCAATAGCTTATTAGGAAAATTCAAACTGAAAAGCTGCGAAAAGCTGCAAAAATCCTGCAAAACTGGCAAAACTGGCAAATTTTGGCAAATTTTTAGCTACCTAGGCTACTAGGGCTACTTAGCTGAGTAGAAAGCTAATTCTATAAATAGAAAATTATAAAAAAATTATATATAATACTATATAATATTTTCTATAAAATAGCCTACTAGAAATTGCCTAATTAGGCCTAGTTATTTAGATATTTAATATATAAATAATATTACTAAAAATAGTAAATAAATAGTTTTAAAGCTAAAATAAAATAGCTAAAATGCTAAGACTTTTTATAAAAATATAAAAGTATATTTATAATTTTTAGAAGCTTATAAATAAAGCTATAATAAAATTTATTATATTATAAAATTAT